GGGGAGGAGGGGGAGGGTTTTGGAAAAGGGGAAAGGGGGAGCGATGTCATCTGTCACTCCCAGTGTGTCCCAGTTCACTCAGGAGTTAAACGGACAAGGTGCCCAGGCTCTGCTGACGATCAGCTCAGAGTCTTTGAAAGGATTAAACATTTATTTTTACACATTAATCTTTGTTCTTGTTATCTTCGAGCAGTTGTACCAAGAAGTTGTCATTTAACAAAGCAGTGTAAGAATACATCTTGGGCAAGATCACTCCTTCCAATGTAACGTTCTCACCCATCCCTCCCCCTTGCCACTTCTTCCCTCCCTTTTCTTAATATTGGAGGATAAACATTGGATTCATTTTTTTTTTTTTGGTCCGGTTGGGGGCCTGAACTCTGGGCCTGGGCGCTGTCCCTCAGCTCTTCAGCTTAAGGCGAGTGTTCTACCACGTGAGCCATAGCACCTCTTCTGGTTTTCTGGTGGCTCATTGGAGATGAGACTCTCGGACTTTGCTGCCTGGGCTGGCTTTGAATCACGATCCTCAGATCTCAGCCTCCTCAGTAGCTAGGATGACAGGGTGAGCCACCTCTTCTCCTCTTCACGCATCTCTCTCTCCCTTGACCCCACCCCACCCCTTTGTGTACCAGCTTCCTGGTGTTCTATTTTGCTGAACTTTGGTTTTTTGCCGTTCTGAGAAATGACACTATTTGAGATCTCTCCTGAATTTACCGTATTCCAGTTACTACACTTGTATACCACCCAATGTATTCACTTACAATTTTACAAGGGGAAATATGCCAACTTTGTCTGTCTGGGCATGGCTTACTTTTCCAAATCTTTCCGTTTCTTTACAAATGGTACAATATCATCTTTATGGCTTGGTTTTGGTTATAGCAGGGATTGAACTCAGGGCCTCAGCAAGCACTCTACTACTTGAGGTGCGTCCCTAGTCCTTTGATGCTTTAGCTATTTGTGCCAGTTCTCGGGCTTGAACTCAGGGCCGGGGCACAGTCCCTAAGCTTTTGTGCTCAAGACTAGCACTCTACCACTTGAGCCACAGCTCTCCTGTTTTTTTTTCCTGTTAATTATAGATAAGTCTCACAATCTTTCTTGGCCAGGCTGGCTTTGAACTTCAAGCCTCAGATCTCAAGCCTTCTGGGCAGCTAGGATTACAGGCATGAGCCAGTGGTGCTTAGCTAGCTTTATTTATTTGTTTATTTCCAGTCACAGGGCTTAAACTAGGCCTGGGTCCTGTCCCTCAGCAAAGCAAGCGCTCTACCTCTAGAGCCACAGCGCCAGCGCCACTTCCGGTTTTCTGGTGGTTCATTGGAGATAAGAGTATCATGGCCTTTCCTGCCTGGCTTTAACCCGTAATCCTCAGATCTCAGCCTCCTGAGTAGCTAGGGTGACAGGCGTGAGCCACCAGTACCCAGTTTTGTTTTGTTTTTGTTTAAGATATGGCTTTTGTTAGATATGGTTTCCTGTTTTTTCCTGAGGACCTTTGGGCCACAATCTTCCCATCTCTGCCTGAGGAGCTGGGACCACAGGAATAAACTACCAGAGCTGGCTTTCAGTGAACGGACAAGTCTGCCTTGCTGGACCGGCATGCCGGCGTTCCAGCATTCCTTGCGGCAGCATCCCCCTCTATGGGCGTTTGCGTTCTTTACTGCAGACTCCACCGCTCCCTCTGCCCTCGCTCCCAGGACCCTCCTCTCCCTTTTCATTCTGCACTGCCACACTGGCCCTTCAGATTGTTTCCTGCTGCAGAACCCGGCCCAAGTCATCCCTTTCCCCCACTTCCCCCCAGCCAGAACACAGCCCAGGTCCTCGCTGTGGAAAGCTCTGTAAAGCAGAGAGGATCCCTACCCCTTCTGAACGTCCCCGGTGTGTTTAAACAAGAGGCAGGGCCTCGCTGGGCCACGGGAGTGGAGGGCACGGAGCCCGTGGCCTGCACTGCTGTGTCGGTCCTTTCCGTCTCCGCCACACCGGCCATGGGTGTCCGTGGCTTCTCTTGCTTCTGCTGTACTGCCAGTTCCTGCCGCAAATCTGTGTGGGAAAAGGAGCCAGAAATTCAGTCCCTGTTTTTGGGATGGGGAGAGCTACGCAGGCCAGATGAAACACTGCAGATGGAGAAAAATCCTCAGGGGAAGGAAACCCACTCAGCTTTGCCTGGCAGGTGTGCAAGAACTAAAGGATTTTTGAGTTAAAAAAAAAAAAAGTTAAAAGGTTTTATCAAAATAGATGGGGTGCCAGTGGCTCATACCTGTAATCCTAGATACTCAGGAGGCTGAGATCTAGAAGGTGATTTCCATCCAGCTAGGGCAGAAAAGTCTGGGAGAGTCTACCTCCAATTAATTAACAATGCTGATAGAGGTATAGCTCAGGTGGTAGAGTAGCAACCACTAGCAAGCAATCTGAGCATGCTCGAGGCCCTAAGGTCAAGCCTTTGTTTTTAATTATAACAAGTCACAAAAAAATGGGCTGGCAAGTCAGCCAACAGACTTTCTGCCCCACAAATTGAGCATCAAGCTCTCTTGATGTGTGACTCATGTGTGGGTAGCGTCTTTCTTGAAAGGATTTCTTCCCAGAGGGGGAACTCCCCAAACAAGGGCGTCATCTCAGAACCCCCAAACTTTTTCATCCTATAGCTTTGTCTGCAAATGCTGAAGATGACAGGGGCTGGACAGGGGCTGGGGCCATAGCACCTGATGTTGGCAGAAAGGGGGAAAGGGGGGTCACACTGATGAAGATATAGAACAGGCCAAGATCCCTGACCTCTGGCTTCATCCTTCAGTCTCTGGACAGATTCTAGAAGATTCTCCTTCTCGTCAAGTTCACTCTCCAAGAAGGCATTTCTTTCAATGGCTTGATTCAGGCGTTGTTCAAAGTCTTCAAGAGACATGATTGTGGCTCTGGGTGAGAGAAAGGCCAAGTTACCCAGAGAACAATGGCGTATTGTGTCGGTTGCCAGGGCCCAAGTCTCTTGGCCTTCTGGGGGGGGTCTCTTCACCTGCCCAGAGGGACCTGTCAGTGCTCAGGAGGTGCACGGTGTGTGTGTGTGTGTGTGTGTGTGTGTGTGTGTGTGTGTGTGTGTGTGTGTGTGTGTGTGTCAGTGCTCAGGAGGTGCATGATGTGGTGTGTTGTGTGTGTGTGTGTGTGTCAGTGCTCAGGAGGTGCATGATGTGGTGTGTGTGTGTGTGTGTGTGTGTGTGAGAGAGAGAGAGAGAGTGTCAGTGCTCAGGAGGTGCATGGTGTGGTGTGTGTATGTGTGTGTGTGTGTGAGAGAGAGAGAGAGTCAGTGCTCAGGAGATGCATGGTGTGGTGTGTGTGCACCCAGGCATCACCCTGCACACTCAGTGCTGACTAGAAATCAGCAGCCTGCATTTAATCACTCAGAACAAACCAGCTTGCACCTCTTGGTGACTTAACTGTTAAAAGTTTAAAAAGTTCCCAGGGCTGAAGGTAGGGCTCATGAGGTAGATCACCTGCTTAGAAGGCACAGAACCTTGAGTTCAAACCCCAGTGCCAAAAACAAACCAAAAAAAGCATTTGCTGGGAGCTGGTGGCTCATGCCTGTGAGCTGAGGACGAGGTAGGGTTTAAAGCCAGCCTTGGCGGGAAATTCTGTGACACTCTTATCTCTAACCACCACAAAAGAAGCTGGAAGTAGAGTTGGGGCTCAAGTGGTAGAGTGAAAGGCTGAAGGACAGCACTTAGACTCTGAGTTCAAGTCTTAGTACTGGCACCAAACGGTCAAAAAAAAAAGTTTCTAGCATCCAGCCACTGTCTGGCTGAAGTGCTGTCTTCACACAGACATTCTCCTGGCACTTTGGTGGGTAAGTATGAAGCGCCGTGATGAAAACATCCAGCCAGGGCTGAGAAGGTGGCTCAGTGGTAGAGCGCTTGCCTAGCATGCATGAGGCCCTGGGTTCGATTCCTCAGCACCACATAAGCAGAAAAAGTGGCTCAAGTGTTAGGGCGCTAGCCTTGAGCTGAAGAGCTGAGGGACAGCGCCCAGGCCCAGAGTTCAGCCCCACAACCACTACCACCACCACCACCACCACCAACAGAAAATCTGGCCAAGCTCATCCTTGTCACCTCAGCTACTCTAGAGGCTAAGGTCCAGATGATCACTACTGTTCAACGTCATCCCAGACGGAAAAACCAGGAAGACTCCAGTTCCAAAATAACCACAAAAGAGGCAGGGTGGAGGCATGGCTCAAACGGCAGAGCAACAAAACCCATCACAGAGTAGTGGATTAACAAATAATTATTGTACTGCACATCACCAACTATCCAACAGAAGACAAAGAGACATGTCAAAACAAAAGGAAAACAAAGAACAAGGATTGCTGTGTCCTTGGGCAGAACAATGCCCAAAATCTACTGTCACTTGAAAGTGGCAGATGTCAAGCAGTATGCCTGGGCCTGGGGGGAGAGGGAGGGGGGCAGCTAGTTTTATGTGCCTGAATTTGCATTTTGAAGACTGTGTGTGTGAGTGTGTGTGTGAGTGTGTGTGTATGTGTGTGTACTAGGAGACTGAACTCAGGACCTGGGCAATGTCCCTGAGTTTTTCTCCCCTCAAGGATGGCACTCTTCCACTTGAGCCACAGCTCTACTTCTAGCTTTTTAGTGGTTAGCTGGAGATTAAGGCTAGTGGATTTGTCTGCCTGGGATGGATGGCTTCAAACCCAGATCCCCAGCTTCCAGAGTAGCAAGGATTCCAGGTGTGAGCCACAGGCACTCAACAACGTTTGCCTTTTTAAAGCAAAAACTCTATCCTAGTGGCTGGGGAGTCCATTTTTCTTGTGTATGTGTTGGATGCACAGATACCTGCATTCCGGCACAGCATCAAGCTAGCTAGGCTAGCTGGTCGAAGCTAGCTAGGCTAGCTGGTCGTTGCAAAGATGTTATACTTTGTAGGAAGTGATACTTTGTAGAAAGTGATCCTAAACTTTGTAGGAAGTGATCAGCTAAGTGAAGGAAATACAAACAGCTGTGTCATCCTCAAGACAACTGCTAAAAAAAAAAAAAAAAGCGAAACAAAAAACAAAACAGAAAAAACAAACCACTCTGAAGGCAAAGGGAATGTCCCTGGTTTGGGCCTGAGCTGTGTCAAATGTCCCTTTGTCAAAGCCAAGAGAATAGCACACTGTAGCTGTGTGCATCTTAACATTAAGTCATTAAGCTAGAAATGTTGTTTCCTTAAATGATAGGTATTTACGGACAGAGAAATTTTAAGTTTTTTGGTGTTTTTTTTAAAGTGTCTACAGCCAGGTGCAGTGACTCACGCCTTATAATCCTAACTACTCAGAAGGTTGAGATCTGAAAATCAGCCGGAGGAAGGAATGTCTGTGAGACTCTTATTTCCAATTAACTTGAGCTGCAGCTCAAGTCTGTAAAGTACCAAGCTTGAGCAGAAAAGCCACGTGAGAATGTGAGGCCTTGAGTTCAAGCCCTATACTAGCAGACACACACAAAGAAGTACCTCTAGTCAGAATCATCACCATGAACGCAGTTATCTTGCCAAACCACAGAGCAGCAGTTTGAGAAATCCTGTTCTTTAGCCAGACACAGTGTTTCATGCCTGTAATCCTAGCTACTCAGGAAGCAAGAGATAGGGAAGACTCAAGTTCAAGGCCAGCTAAGCCAAAACTTCAAGTGGAAACCCTGCCCCCAAGCTTTGCTAACAAAAAGCTGGGTGCAGTGGCACACGCCTGTCATCCCTGCTATTTGGGAAGTGTGCAGACAAGGCGCATAGAAGGACTGTGGTCCAGGCCCCAGGAGAATGTGAGAGCCTATCTGAAAAATAACTAAAGCAAAATGGGTTAAGGGTTTGGCTTAAATGGTAGAGCACTTGCCTAGCAAGCATGAGTTCAAAAATATTACCACCCCTCTCCCCATAGCTACTAAGTATTCTTTTTGAAAATGCCTCCTTCCTGAGCACAGGCTGGTGGCTCTTTCTGGAATGTTCTTGCCTTGCCTGACAATCTCCTACCAGTGGCCAAATTAATATATCCTATGCGTTCTCTCACGGCCTGGACCCGGAACCACTCTTGACAAAATCTGTTTTACTGTCCACTGAGCTCTATTAATGCACACGGGCCTGGCAGCCCACCTCCCCCGCCCTGCTCACCGCTTGGCTCTCTCCAGGTCATCGTTGGCTTGCTCCAGCTCCCGGATGTACTTCTGCAGCTGATCTTTGATCGCCTTCGTCTGCGCCAAGTCGTCCTCCAGGGCTGAGATCTGCCGGTAGCCTTCCGAGTGCTGCAGCTCCAGCTTCTCCTGAAGGACAAGATCCACCCACACCGTGTTGGAGACAAGCTCAGGCTCCGTCTCTTCCCTGCTGGTCTCCTGGGGGGCCTGCGCTCCCTGCTCCCCCACACAAGCACCCTGACTTCTTAGGGGGTCCTTCCCCTCGTTTGATGGCCTTTAGGGGCACCTCCTGGCCGTCATCCATGAGGCAGGGCCAGACCTCCTCATCCAGTCTCCCCTGATGCTCAGACTATCTCCCCACACACCTGCGTTGGGGGGAGGGAGGGGAAGGACGTGACAGGTAGCCGTCCTGTCCTCACCAGCTGTCTCAACCACGTCCTGACTGCTTCCTGACTCCTGGTTCCCATACCTGAGCCCCTGTCCCATTCCAAAACTGCTCCCTGCTGCCACCAGCTTTTTTTGGCCAGTCCTGGGACTTGAACGCAGGGCCTGGCAGTGTCCCTGAGCTTCTTTTGCTCAAGGCTAGCACTCTACCGCTTGAGCCACAGTGCCACTTCCAGCTTTTTCTGTGTATGTGGTGCTGAGACTTCAAGCATGCTAGGCAAGCACTCGACCACTAAGCCACGTTCCCATCCCCCCACCCCTTTTTTTAAGCCAGTCCTGGACCTTAAACTCAGGGCCTGAGTGCTGACCCTGAGCTCTTTTTGCTCAAGGCTAGGACTTACCCCTTGAGCCACAGCACTTCAGCTTTTTGTTGGTTAACTGGAGATAAGAGACTCTTGGGTTTGTCTACCATGGGCTGGCTCTGAACCATGATCCTCAGATCCCAGCCCTGAGTAGCTAGGATGACAGGCATGAACCATCAGTGTCCAACCCCATCAATCTTTATTTAAAAACAAAAAAAACTTAAGATGTCCACAGGCAATGAAAGTTCCACGCAGCCTTGAAGCCGTGTGTGTGACTAGACACACACCGTTTCACACACTGGTACCACTGAGTGCCAGTGATGAGCTGTGGCTGCCGACCCTCACATCAGGATGACCACAGGCAGCCTCTTAGTACCTGGTGCTGGGAAAAATGGACGTACACTGTACTGGACTAAAAGTGCATCCCGATCTGTCACCTGACACCAGTATCAACTCAAAATGGATCAAAGGCCTCAACGGCAGACTTGAAACTTTGAAACTACAAGCAGCAGGAGAAACATTAGAACTTACAGGCGGAGGCAGAAATTTGTTGAAGAGTCCCAGGGCCTCAGCAAATAGGAACAAGATTTGACAAATAAGATGACACCAAACTAATAAGTTTCTGCACAGCAAAGGACATAGTTACAAAATTAAAAGACAGCCAATGGACGGGGGGGATCTTTAGTGGTTACGTTCAAAATATACAAGGAGCTCAAGAAACCCAAATTAATAACCTAATCAAAAAATGAGCAAAGGAGCTAAAGAGACTTTTCAGAAGAAGAAGGGTCAACAAACACAGGAAGAAATGGTCAACATCCCTGGCCATAAAGGAAATGCAAATCAAAACCACCCTGAGATTCCATCTCACCCAGTAAGATGGCCAGCACGGGGAATACAAACTACAAGGCATGCTGGCGGGGATATGGAAAAAAAGGAACTCTACTGCACTGTTGGTAGGAATGTAAACTAGTGCAATCACTCTGGATGGCAGTTTGGAGGTTTCTCACAAAACTGAACATAGACCTTCCCTATGATCCAGCCATACCACTCTTGGGCATCTACCTAGACTATTACTCGTCAGGATATGGTAAAGACATTTGCTGCGTTAGTCCATGTCCATTGCTGCATTCTTCACAATAGCCAAGTTGTGGAAACAGCCCAGATGCCCTCTAATAGATGCGTGGCTCAAGAAAATACCGTACATATACACAATGGAATTTTATTCATTCATTTGAAGGAATATTATGTCATTTGCAGAGAAATGGATGGACCTAGAACAAATGATATAAGCCAGGCTCAGAGACTAAGGATACATTTTGTCTCATATGAGAAAGCTAGATCTAAAATACAAGTATGTATGATAACACATACAGGGCTCACTGCATTGACACACTAACAAACTGACTAAAGGAGAATGAACATAGGGGAAGAATCTGAAGGCACATCTCCTCTGAACAACTGAACACTGTTTATTAAAGTTAATGCCAGGAAAGTGGAAACACATTTTAGGGAATAGGCAAAGGGGGTGTACAGGATTGGAGGAAGGGTGAGGAAAAGCGGGCATTGTATTCAATGTACATTTTGTTTTTTTAAAAAATGAACTATGGCTGGATACTGGTGGCTCACACCTGTAGTCCTAGCTACTTAGGAGGCTGAGATCTGAGGATCGCAGTTCAAAGCCAGCTCGGACAGGAAAGTCCGTGAGACTCTTATCTCCAATAAATTACTCAGAAAAAGCTGGAAGTGGCAGAGCACGAGCCTTGAGCACAGAGAGGCTCAGGGACAGTACCCAGACCCTGAGTTCAAGCCCCAAGACAGGAGAAAAAAAAAAAGTTATGTAACTTGAAGGTGCAGATGGTTAGGATGTAATGAAGGATGACTCTGACCAAGAAGCATTTTCCTCATAACCCGACTTACAGAATTGTAACCCTTCTTTACAACTACTTAATAATAATAAAAATAAATAAATAAGAGGGCATCAGGTACTTAGTGTGACAACTGTCCTAATTTGATCCAAGACACTTCAGCAGAGGGGAAATCACAAGGAACATTTGGGAGAGGAGAGGGGAGGGGAGGGGAGAGGGGAGGAGAGGAAAGAGAAGGGAACAGCTGTTGTTAATTACCAAAGGAAATTCAGTGATTGGCTATTGCTTTCCAAGGGTGGAGACAAGTCAAGATGAGTCTCAGTGATTGGCTGCTACCTACTACATCAACCAATATTCATTACATCTGTGGTACCCTTGGCTGCTGCACAATGCTGTCTTACTTCACAGGTGTGGGAATCAAGGCTCCAATAACTAGCCCAAAGTTAACTGAGCCAAGGGCCAGGCCAGGCCACTGGATGCTGACCTGGGCACCGGTGGCTCACACTTGTAATGCTAGCTACTCAGGAGGCTGAGGATCTGAGGATAAAGGTTCAAAGCCAGCCTGGGCAGGAAAGTCTGAGACTCACATTTGTGAAAAAGCTAAGGGATCAGTCCCAAGCTCCTGAGTTCAAACCCTAGCACTAGCACAAAAACCAGCAACAACAACGCAAAAGATGCCAAATGGCCCTAAACAATTTCAGTGCAAGTCAGTAAGGGGGCTGACCATTCCTCGTTTTCTGTTTCTCGCCTCTCTGTCTCTGCCTTCTCTCGTCAAGTACTCTTCCCAGATTCAAACAACACAAAAGGCCCAAAATTTCATTTGAAGCCTTAAAGCAAAGTCAAGTTCCTCTTTCAGACTCAGCTACAAACACACCCCCACCCTCCCAAGAGCCAGGAAATGAGGTCATGGTGCTTGATGCCAGAGTGGCGAGGCGGGGGCCCCAGACAAAGAAGCCGGCCAAGGGACCCAGTGACTCACCCGACTTGGGTTGGGGTGGGTGATGACAGGAAGGTCACCCCACACCATCCTGCTGCTGGAGCCCTTCTGACGCTCGTGTCCTGGCCAGGAGCTGAGCGTGCGGGCCTGCCGTCAGGAAGCAGCAGCCCAGACCCCTACTCCCAAGCACACAAGGGCTCGGGCATGCGCGCATGCACACACGTGCCCACGCATGCTCTCTCCCACCGGCCAGCACCCATAGCCAGACAAAACAGGATGGACCTTAAGTAATTAACCTTGATTCCAAAAAAATTCCAAGAGGGAGACCTCCCCAGACAAACACGCTCAGCTGTGGCCTCAGAACGTGTGATCTGGATCCGTCACAGGCCTCTGTATTTTTGTCATGTGCCTGACTCAGCTGACGTGACTTAGGTGACTGGCATTGCTGGTGGCGGCACCACAGGTTTGGATGTCTGCCCTCTATCTCGGCCCTGTGACCAACAGGTCCTCTGCAGGTTCAATAGTTCTGTCTAGAAGTACTTGGGGACCTCTTAGCCTCGCCAAAACACAGGCACACTGCAAAGCTTCCCTTCCTTAGTGCAGGGCAGTCGCAAGGCCCCCCTCAATTGGAGATCTAGGACTCCAGGTGGGACTTGCTTGGGCAGTGATCACACCCTTCCTTCAGGCCTGTGTTAGGAGTGGGCAGGGTTGAGTCTTCAGCCTGTAGGGCTCCTTCTCCCAGCCAGCCCCACTGGGCAAGTGGGTGATCCACTCACCTAGCCCTGCCCCCCAGCACTGTCCCAAGCTCCTCACCTTGACGGCTTCCAGCTCCATCCGCAAGCGACTGTTTTCAGACAGGAGGTCTCGGTTCCTGGTTTCAATCTGTTGCAGCTGGGTCTCCAATTCAGCTTCATATTCTCTACTTCCCTCCTGGAATTCCCGGAGTTCCTCCTGCGTGTTCTCTGCCCTGCCAAAGAATTCCCAGAGGTCCAGTAAGAATTTACTTATTTACTGGGTGCTGGTGGCTTATGCCTTTAATCCTAGCTACTCAGGAGATCTGAGGATCTGAGGAGCCTCAGTGATCTCATGATCACAGTTCAGAGCCAACCTCATAGGAAAGTCTGTAAGAATCTTATCTCGAATTAACCACGAGAAAACCAGAAGTGACTCAAAGTGGTAGAGGACTAGCCTTGACCAAAAGAGCTCAGGGACAGCACCCAGGCCCAAAATTCAAGCCCCATGACCCTCTCTCTCTCATACACACAAAATACAAACACACAGACACAGACACACTCACATACACACACAGGTTAAAAACTTATTTGCTGCTAGTCCTGTGGCTTGATTTCAGGGGATGCAGTCCTTTGGCTTTATTGGCCAAACATGGTGTTCTACCACTTGAGCCAAAGCTCCACTTCAGCTTTTTGGTGGTTAGGCGTAAGAGTCCCAGATACTTTTCTGCCTGAACTGGCCTTGAACCTTGGTCCTCAGATCTCAGCCTCCTGAGTAGCTAGGATGACAGGTGTAAGCCACCTGTGCCCATTTTTATTGTATATTAATGTGTACTGCGTGTTGTATGAGCCATGGAGCGATGCATCTTTACTACTATTTGTGCATGAAAGATATAATTTAGACAGGCTGAGTGACTTGTCTGCTGGTCACATGAGCCATCAGAAGCAGAACTTGCACCTAACTTGGGAATGACTAGCTCCAAAGCCACTTCTTAACCAATTCACTTAACGCCTACTCATTTTTTTTTTTGACCAACCTGTAGGAAATCTACAAGATTTTGTAGCTTCTTTCAGACTTACTTCCATGTCTGTCTCCAGAAAGCAACCAATCAGTAAATGTGAACTTATCACTTCCTCAACCTCTGTTCTCAGAACACCACAAACCTCGGACTGCCTTTAAGCCCTACATTGTCAGGAACTTTCCACTAATTTAAGTGCAACCAAAAGTATAGAAACTTGACAGTGGCTCCCGTCTGTCATCCTAGCTACTGAAGAGGCTGAGATCTGAGGATCACAGTTCAAAGCCAGCCCAGACAGAAAAGTCAGTGAGACTCATTTCCAATTAAGCAGCAAAAAGCTGGGAACTGGAGGCGTGACTCATGGTAAATCGTCAGTCTTGAGCAAAAAGAGCCAAACGGGAGCATGAGGCCCCGAGTTTAAGCTCGCAATACCAGCATAAAAAAGAGACAGACAGCAAGAGAAACTAAGAAAGGGCCTGCTATGGTAACACACGTCTATAGTCCCAGTATTCAAAAGACTAAAGAAGGAAAATTGGGAGTTCAAGGAGAAAGTAAATGGGCTAGAACATGACTTTGGATATGTGGAGATCATAAAACTCCTTGAGAAGAAAACTGCTCAATACACAACCACCCCACACCCTCACACTCCCCAGCTCTCCCAGACACAGGCAGTTGCAGATTTTCAGGAAAAGTTCTTTCCCCTAGAGGAAGATCTGAGCAGATCCGAGCTTACAGGACAGATAAGATCCTTCAGAACCAGAGGTGAGAAGCTGCACCACGCGATGGTGCAGGGCCTCAGCAGGCAGTTCTAAGTTCTGCTCTGCTCCTCATGGCTATGGCCCCAGGCAGGTCATCTGCCTTCCCTGCAGCTCAGTGTGCTTATCTGCAGAGAGCCGTGACAAGTTCCCTCACAGGCTGAACGAACAACAGGTGTGCCCCTCACAGCCCACACAATAGGCCTACAGTGCACAGTAGGCCTGCAGCAATGGGCCAAGAGCAGAACTTGCAGGACTGACCTCTGCTTGTAGGTCATCGCCAGGTCTTTCCAATAGGTGGCCTCTTCCTCCTGGGAGCCGAAGGTCCTTCCCGGGTCCTCCATGGTGGAGATGGCACGTGTTCACGCTTCCTGTGACATAGTGTCTACAAGGCAAGGCTTTCAAGTTATTATCCAGGCCAGGATAGACAGATGATTTTCAACAGAAGAATTAAATCAATAACCCTGAACTTCATGGTGGATTAGCATGCTAACATGTGAAAATTATGACAGCCTGACACTGCTAACATCCAAGGGCTTAATCTCATGTTGTATGTATCATTCCATGAGTATTTATTGAACACCCACAACAGAACCTAGGGATCCAAGCAAGATGTCTCCAAGGTCCCTCCTTCCTCCTTAAGGGGCCTGGGGGAAGGAGGGGAGGAATCACATGCGAATTGCATGTAAATGCATGCAAATCATATGTAAATCATTCAGTAGTGTTGACATTCAAGAGCACATACTATATTCAGAGCATATTCTTCAGTGTGTGGCATGCATCTAAAAATTACCACAATCAAAATCAGAAGCATCTCTTCGGTACCAGATAGGACATCCCAAACTCAACCTCATGTACGAGCGCAACAAGAAATGAACAAGAATAGGAAAGCAACAAATGGAGGAGAAAGAACTGAACAGGAGAAAAGGCAGAAACAGCCAGGCTTGGGAGAGAGGCTGAAGGTTGAAGAGAAGTAGAGGCACTGGGCAGATTAAAACAGAGAAGTCAAATCACACAGCCATTTTTCTGCCTTGTTCAAAAATTTCATAGTAAGCCAGGTGTGGTGGTAGATGCCCGCAATCCCTGCACTCAGGAGGCAGAGGCTCAGGAGGACTTTGAGTAAGGCCAGCCTGGGCTACACAGGAAGACCTCGTCACAAACAAACCAGAAAAGAAAAACACCGAGCGGCAGCGGGAGCCATGGGAGGGCTTCGAGGAGGGCGGCAGATGGGCTCCTCTGCTGAAATGGCTCAACCTGGAGGAACCCAAAAAAGAAAGGGAGGTGGCCTGAATTAGAAGTGAGAAGGAGGACGGCAGGAGGAGCCACGGACTCCAAAAATATTTAGAAGGCAGAACTGGCCAGGCATAGTGGTGTGCGTGTGTGTTGGCAACAAAGTGAGATCCTCTATCTTTAAAAAAAAAAAGGGGGGGCTGGGAAGGTGGCTCAGTGGTAGAGTGCTTGCCTTGCATGCCTGAGGCCCTGGGTTCGATTCCTCAGTACCACATAAGCAAAAAGAAAAAAACCGGAAGTGGCGCTGTGGCTCAAGTGGTAGAGCCTTGAGCTGAAGAGCTGAGGGACAGCGCATAGGCCCAGAGTTCAGGCCCCACAACCGGACTCCCCCCCCCAAAAAAGGCAAATGTCCTGGATCTCAGTTATTACATTTGATGGGAGAAGAAGGGAAGAAGTCCAGCACCGGGCCAGCAATCCCCATCATGAAGGGTGGAAAGAACCAGCAGGCTCATTCTGGGGGGAGTGGGGGGGTGTTACTGGGAGACCACACACCTTGTCTAGGCTATTTTCACATGACATGTTTAGATAAAACTGAGGATGGAAACCCCACGGACGTAAAACCTGAGGCACCTGTGACTGGGAGGCCCTGTAGTCTCGTCTCTCTTTCCTTGAGCCACAACCGTGAGAACTTTCATGAGCACTGCATAGGGACGGGAGGAAGGCCAACACTAGAGAGGTGGGCCGAGAAGGAAAATGCCATCGGAGATGGGAAACAGTGAGAAGGATAAGAACCAGGAGCTTGCTCTCCTGGAACATTCCACAGCAACAGGGATGCGAGAGAGAGATGCGAGTGAGATAAGGACTGGAAATTCAGCCACTGGCTGTGTCGGGAAGAAGAGCTCCACCACAGAGGAGAGGGAGAATAGACAGTGGGGATCAGGATCAGGCAGGTGGCGGTACACCCCTGCAATTCCAGCTGAAGGCCAAATGGATCTCAGGTTCAAGGCCAGCCTGGGCTACATCGCAAGACCCTATCTTGGGTGAGTGAGTGAATGAATGAAATACTGAGCCAATGACAAGGATGGCTCCATGAGTGTCCAGGCCCGGGCCTCGTGCAGCTATCCGGAGAAAGCCTTTCCATTACAGTAGATAGAAGCGTTCCACTGTTCTTACTTTCACAGCAGAGACTGCGGCTGAGAGCGGAACCGAGAGGAAGGTGCTGCTGACGAGAGAGAGAAAAAGAGACCGAAACAGAGAGGGAGAAAGGAGGAGGGGGGAGAAGAAGGAGAAAGTCGGGGGGAGACAGAGAAGGAAAAACAGCAGGGAGAGGGAGAAGGAAAGAGAGAAAACACTAGAACTGATGGTACCATTTCAGCAAGGGCAGACGGAAGGGTATGAGCGACGTGACTCCCTGTCCTGGCACACGGCCCAAGGTTACCTTTCCACCACAGGCAGCCCTTGCTGAATATGGAGAGAAGAAGCTTATTTGTGGACGTTGTAAAGAGTAGAGCTGGGTTTGCTCCGGTCCCTAAGCCAGCCGTTGCCTCAGTGGCTAACGGTACTCACCAAGGTAAGGAGCGGTGCGGAACCCAGGCCCACCTCCCCACTCCCCCGTCCCGCTGTCAGGTCAGGGGGAGTCCCCAAACCAAGACCACGCAGGCGTGTAGACATGAGCACTGTGTGGGTCGGACCCTGGCAAGTTTGCTCCTGAGCACAGTCTCCGTGTTGAAGCAAAGGAGGAGGTCAGTTTGCAGTGGGGTGAGGTGCTGAGGAATTTGGAACAAGGTAGACCGATGTTTCCTTCACTTGGAAGAGAGTCATACATAAGGCCCAATGTCACTACTACGTTGATAAACATCTCCCACCTCTCAGGACCCAGCCACACTATCATCTTCCTTAAGGCCAAGCTTGCTCCCAACCCCAGGGCTTTTGTACTTGCTGGTGTCTTGGCCTGGAATGTTTCTAGAATTACTGGGCTTTAAACTCAGGGCCTTGTATTTGCCACAGCTGCTCTATCATTGGAACCACAAGCCAGGACCTTCATGAATTTTTTTGTGTGCTGGTACTGGGGCTTGAACTCAGGGCCAGGGTGTTATCCCTTAGGTTTTCCTTCAACACTGGTGCTCTACCTCTTGAGCCACAGCTCCACTTCCATCTTCTTGGTGGTTTAACTGGAGATAAAGAGTCTCATACCCTTTTCTGCTTGGGGCTGGCTTTAAACCTCAATCCTCCAAATCTCAGCCTCTAGAGTAGCTTGGATTACAGGTGTGAGCTACCAGCACCCAGCTACAGTGACTGAAGTTTCTTAATGCCCTCTTGCCTGCTATGGCAGATGTATTTTGGGGGCTTCTAATCTGTTATCATGGCCACTGAGGCTTAAAACTTGAAAGGAATGCAGGGGACATGTTTGGGGAGGTACATTCTGTTGTGACAGAGTGCGGAGCTGAGAAGGGTCTGGTTTTGAACTTCCAGACCTGGACAGTGTCAGAGCACAGGAATGATACTTCAACCAAGCTCTGTGGAACGAACATGCTAGAAGCAGAGAGGGAAGCAGCAGCTGCACCTCACTTGGTTATGAAACCACACTCTTAAAAATACAAGATTTTTCTCTTGCCATGTGGGAATGTCCCAGAAAGTTCTTCCCCCTGGTCTCTGCCGTGGGAGACAGGCGAAAGGACTCACGAAGCGCCCCTTCACGAAGGGTGGCTTCCTCGGTGTCGTCATCCCCTGCTCTCTGGCACGAGCTGCCCATTTAATGTATTTCCTTCAAAGGACATGAACCTCTTGAAGCTTTTCTATTCTAAGCGAAGAGCAAAAACAATCGCTTTGTTTCTTAGCAGCAGACTAGAGCAAAACATTGTACCTTCTGGCCATCATAAGTGAGGGTTAAAGTGAACAGATCCAAGTATGAGTTGTCTTTTGTAGGTCAAGTTCAAGGACCAGGCTTTTTAAAGACACTACAGCTAAGGGCTCATGTCTGTAATCCTAATTCTCAGGAGGCTGAGATCTGGAGGACCAAAGTTCCAAGGTGGGCAGAAAAGTCTGTGAGATTACATCTTTTCTAATAAAATGCCAGATGGAGGCAGGGCGTAAGTGGTAGAGTGCCAGCTTTGATTAAGAAAGCTGGAGAAGCCGGGCGCTGGTGGCTCACGCCTGTAATCCTAGCTACTCAGGAGGCTGAGATCTGAGGATCGCGGTTCAAAGCCAGCCCGGGCAGGAGAGACCGTGAGACTCCTATCTCCAATAAACCACCAGAAAACCGGAAGTGGCACTGTAGCTCAAGTGGTAGAACGCTCGCCTTGAGCTGAAGAGCTGAGGGACAGCACCCAGGCCCAGAGTTCAAGCCCCACGACCGACAAAAAAAAAGAAAGCTGGAGAAAAAAAAAAGCTGAATGAGAGCATGAAGACTTAGTTCAGGCCCCAGTACCCTCAAGGAAGGAAGGAAGGGAGGGAGGGAGGGAGGAAGGAAAGGAGGGAGGGAGGGAAGGAGGGAAGGGGAAGGGGAAGAGGAAGGAAGGAATAATAAGCAGGTGTTAATGCCTGGGCACAGTGCACACTGCTTTGTAACTGATGTCTTTAAAACAGTACATTCATTTGTTCTATCTGTATGCAGATAACTCTCATTCTCAGTACACCATCATCATCATGGTAATGGTGCCCCAACAGCTCAGTAGACAAGTCTCGAGGGAGCCTCAAATATGTACACTACAGCATATATGTCTACATGGAGCAACAAACAATGAGCCAGAGGTATAAAAAGTATCAAAAAACTGGGACCAATGGCTCACACCTATAATCCTAGCTACTCTGGAGGCTGAGATCTGAGGATCACAGTTCAAAGTCAACCTAGGCAGGAAGGCCTGTGAGAGACTTATCTTTAATTATCAAAAGCCAAAAGTAGGGTTGGGAAGGTGGCTCAGTGGTAGAGCGCTTGCCTTGCATGCCTGAGGCCCTGGGTTTGATTCCTCAGCACCACATAAGCAAAAAGAAAAAAGCCAGAAGTGGCACTGTGGCTCAAGTGGTAGAGCACTAGCCTTGAGCTGAAGTGCTGAGGAACAGCGTCCAGGCCCAGAGTTCAGGCCCCACGACCGGACCCAAAAAAAAAAAAAAGCCAAAAGTAGAGCTGTGACTCAAGTGACAGGATGCTAGCCTTAAACATATTGCTCAGGGACAGCGCTCAGACCCTGAGTTCAAGCCCTCGGACCAGCACCAAAAATAAAATAAAAGTTCAGCAGCTGAGCCTGCTAGTGCCTTACCTACTTAAGAGGCAAAAGTAGAGGATCTCAAATTAGAGGCCAGCCTTGGCAAAGATAATGAGACTCTATTAAAACAACAACAACAACAACATGTTAATAGCAAATATTAATGGTAACCCCCTTTATATAACTAAAGAGAATTTAAAAATACATTTTTTAAAAAAGCAAAATAAAAAGGGATAGGAGTTTAGCTGAAGTGGTAGAGTGTTTGCCTAACATGCACAAAGCCCTGTATTTCATCCTCAGCACCTCAAAAACAAAAAATTCCCTTGTAGAGGCAATGAAGGACATATTGGAGGATGAGTGGGCAAGTGCAGTTATTATATTCAATGTACGCTATGTAAAAACTGACCTACAGGAAGGGGAAAGCTGGGTAGGAACGATGGAAGCGGTGACATTGATCAGGATGCATTGTACTCCTGACTCGACTTCTGAAACTGAAGCCACCTACATAACTGAAAAAGCAAAATAAAATAAAAATAATTTCCCCCGAGGGCTAGAAGGTGGTTCAGTGGTAGAGTGCTTGCCTAGCGTGCATGAAGCCCTGGGTTTGATTCCTCAGCACCACATAAGCAGAAAAAGCCCTAAGTGGCGCTGTGGCTCAAGTGGTAGAGCGCTAGCCTTGAGAGGGACAGCGCCTAGGCCCTGAGTTCAAGCCCATAACCGACAAAATAAATAAATAGTAATAATTCCCCCAAACTAATTTCAGGTTGGTTTGGGGGTTTCTTTGTTTGGTGGTGGTGGTGGTACTGGGGTTTGAACTCAAGCCCTTGTGCTTGCTAAGCAGGTGCTGAGCCCTGCCCCAAGCCTGTTGCTTTTTGTCTGGACCACTCCAGACTGTGATTCTCCTATTTATACTTCTCCACTAGCTGAGATGAAAGGGATGCATCACCATGCCCAGCTTTGCTCTCCACCCCCCTACCCCTCCTAGAGCTAAGGATGGAACTCAGGGCCTTACACTTGCCAGGCAAGTACTCTGCCACTGAGCTAAATTACCAACCCCTTTGCCCAGCTTTTTACTGATTGAAAAAGAACCATGCAAACCTTTTGCTTGGACTGGTCTCAAATCTTGATCCTCCCCCCATCTCAGCCTTGGGCAGCTAGGATTCCAGGCATGAATGACAGTACTCCCCTCCCTCTCAGCATGGTTTGTTTTTGAAGTTAACAGAAAAATCTGAAAACACATTTGAGACATATACCTCTGATTTTAAAACTCTAGAAAATAAAAAATGCTGTCTTTTATCTTTCTTCTGAGTAAAGAACGTCAGCGTGGCTGGTCAGAAACAACACACATGGAGAAAGCATCAGGAATTAAATCAACACCCTTCTCAACACAAACTACAGAGCTGAAGGCAAGAGACGGGAGCAGCAGTGTCTGCACATGCTCCTGGCCGACTTGACATCACTGGGGCACAATCTGCCAAGAGTCAGCTTGCCTGGCTTCAGAGTGTGTAATGACCCACCTGAAAGCTTGAGGCATGCAAAGACAAGCACTCAGTGACATACCCACCCTTCACTAGACAAGAACACTAGAGACACTTGCCAAGAGAGCCCGGATGAGAAGTCTGTGCTTGTTAGAAGAGCTAGATGGAGGAATGTATTAGCTTCCTCTCTGCATGGCGGACCACAAGGGTCTGGAAGGAAGGAGCAGAATGTGGGTAGAGCCGGCACCGAGACAGAGCACTTGTACCCTACACACTTCTTTCTAGAACACTGGCTTTTGTTGGTGGTAGTTTTTGTTTGTTTGTTTTTTGCCGGGACTGGGGTTTGAACTATGTGGGGTTTGAACTAGTCAAGCGCTCTACCACTTGAGCCACATTCCCAGCCCTTTTTGAATTAGGTGAGGTTTTTGTGGGTTTTTTTTTTGTTGTTGTTGTTGTTTTGTTTTTGGTATTGTTTTATGATAGGTTCTCTCACATTTGCCCTGGATATCTTCAGACCACAATCCTCCTATCTCCACCTCTGGAGCAGCTGAGATTACAGGTGTGAAACATCAAACTCAACCCAGTTTTGTGTTTTGTTTTGCTTTATCCCCCGAGACAGGTCTTACTAGGTTTTAGATGTTGATATGGAGCTCAGTCTATAGCCAATGATGGCCGTGAGCTTGAGACCCTCCTGTCTCCTAAGTGCTGAAAGTTCAGGCATGGACTACCATAACTGAAATGAAATTAAAAAAAAACAAAACTTTTGGCTGGGTGCTGATGGCTCATGCCTGTAATTCTAGCTAATTGGGAGGAGATCTGAGGATACCAATTCAAAGCCAGCTAGGGCAGGAAGTTTATGAGACTCTCATCTCCTATTAGCCACCAAAAAACTGGAAGTAGAGCTGTGGCTTAAGTGGTAGAGCACTAGCCTTGAGTATAAAAGCTTAGGGACAGAGCCCAGGCCCTGAGTTCAAGCCCTAGGACCAGCACACACAAAAAAAATGTTTACACTTGAAACCAAAAAAGAACAGCTATTGCTCCAAGATAATTTTATTCTACTGAACTCTACTGTGATTTTTCTGTTTCTCCATTTCTTTTCAGTCATTTTGGTGTCTGTTTCCTGAGACAGGGTCATTTTCCCTACAGCTAGACTGGCCTGAGACTTATTAGGTAGCTCAGGCTGGCCTTGAACTCTCAACCATACTTCTGGGATCACTGGCATGCACTACCACACTGGGCTTTCAATCATTTCTTGGACACCTCCTAAGAGTGAGGTGTTAACTGGGAAAGGCAGATGCAGAGGGGACTCCATCCTGGTACTAGGCTCAAGCACAGGATGAGCTACAAGCACAAACTCCCTACTATACTGGCAGGTTCACGCCAGGAACTTGTCTTTGGTGGAAAGAATATACTTGGAAAAGAACACAACAGGCTAATCACACAAGCCAAGTTGGTAAAATATCCAGAACAGAATAAAATGCACGCCCCCCCCCCCACAGACATTCAAACTAAGAGCGATGACTTAAGTTTCAAAACTTAAATGCTGGTGTGGTGGGAAGAGGGGGGTGCAAGAGTGGTCAGATGACCAGAGGCCCCGGGAGGGGAGAAGCAGGTGTTGGATTACTCTTCAAAGCGGTCTACCCTTGTCCTAGCCGGCAACACACTAAAACAAAACTAGCTCCCAAAGTGACAAACCTCGGCGCCGCACACGCTGCAGAAAGGCCTTCTTTCTCTGGATAGGAAGCTAACAGAGACCTCAGGCTCGGAGTGGGAGGAAAGGGGGCACGACCCAGTGCACACCGTGGACAAAGGCTTGCGGGAGCCTGAGACTCCTGGAGGGGGGTGAGGGTAGGGGGTGGTGTCCCCTTAGCAAGGGGTCAAGGTGATGGGGGCGGGGGGGGGGAGAGAAGTTGCAGCGACCTCTGGAAAGCAGGAAAGCCGGGCCAAACCTTTCATCCAGCCCCGCACCAAATGTGGAGTCAGGAGAAATCTGAACCGTCCCGCAGGGACCCAGGGGTTCCGCACGCGCCCTCATGAGGGGGGGAGTGTGCCCGGGACGCGGGTGCGGGTGGGAGGCTGAGGCGGGGGGGGTGGGGAGGAAGCGCGAGGAGGATTTGGGGAGGGAAGGAGGGCGGGAAAGAGGGGACGGCGATCAGGAAGGGGGGATTTAGAGGGCGGAGGTAAATCGTTGGGCGGAGCAGGCTGGCGGGGCCTGGGGACGGTCGGGGCGGAGACGCGCGCGCGGGGCCGGGAACAAAGTTGGTGAGGGCGCAAAGTTAGGCAGGAGACTCCCCGAGGGCGGGATTTCGGGGCTCTGCGACGCGCGATCGGGCGTCCTGCAAGGCGATGGAGGGGTGGAGGGGGAGACCCCACAGCATGGAAGTTCGGAGTGGCGACCCGGGGGTGAGGGGGGTCACCCCGCCCGCCGGGGTGTGGTGGGGGGGGCGCAGCAGCTGTACTTACCAGGGTCGGACGGCCGGCGAGGATCGGGCAGCAGCTCCGGCCAGGGCGGGGCCGCCCGGCTCCTCCCTCCCCCCCGCCCCACCCCGCGCTCTCGCGGCCGGCGCCTCCCATTGGCTGCCGCGTCTCAGGTCCGCGTCCGGTTCGGCCAATCAGCGCCGAGTAGCGCCGTTTGGAAACTTTTTTCCGCCGGCCGGGCGGGAGGAGACTCCGGTCGTGGCCCGGGGCTGCTGCGTCCGCTGCTGCGGGCGGCGGCGCCCTGGACCGGGCCGGGCGGTCCGGCCTGGGCTCGCCCGCCACGCGTCTCCGGAGAACACGCCGCTGGCCTCCTCCTGCCGCCGCTTCCTGTTCGTGAGCTTCTTCCCGACACGATGTTAAGGACCAGGACCGAGGCTCAGTACCCCCAATCCTTCCCGCTACTTTGTGCCCACAGTAGAAGTTTCAGCACCTCTCTCTTCCTCCGGGACCGAAGCAGGGTACACTGAGCTTCCCAGCCAAGCTGGGCACGTTAACTGAAGCCCAAATCGGCACATTTAGATGACACCCACCAACTAATCTAAAACTACTTGGATCTCAATTTCCCCAAAAGGGTGGAAAAGTAAAAGTTTGCGGAAAATAGGGTTGATATTGGGCAACAGGGAGGAAAAATAGTGCCATTACTGGGGCTCGAACTCAGGGCCTGGGCGTTATCCTGAGTTCTCAAGGCTGGTGCCCTACCAGCTGAGCTACAGCTTCTCTACCAGCTTTTTGGTAATTCTCATAGACTTCCCTATCTAGGCTGGCTTCAAATCGTGATTCTCAGATCTCAGCCTCCTCGGTAGCAGGGTTACAGACGTGAGCCACCAGAGCCCAGTTCTGGTGTACACTAAAACTTTCTTTTAAACTTCGTTTCCTTGTAGAGCTCAGCTTCTTAGCTCCTTCCATCCTACTTTACCAGTTCAAACATTAAACCTAACCGAAGCAGAACTAAAACTGAGGAAAAAAAATGAGTTGGATCAAATGTAGAGTAGCCACTTAACTACTAAAGACATCTTCAAAAAAATAAAGCAAGGGCTGGGAAGGTGGCTCAGTGGTAGAGCGCTTGCCTTGCATGCCTGAGGCCCTGGGTTGGATTCCTCAGCACCACATAAACAAAAAGAAAAAAAGCCAAAAGTGGCACTGTGGCTCAAGTGGTAGAGCGCTAGCCTTTAGCTAAAGAGCTGAGGGACAGCGCCCAGGCCGAGTTGAGGCCCCACGACTGGACCCCAAAAAAAAAAATAAAGCAAATCTTCACGCTTGTTTCACAAATGAGAAGCGTGTCATTTGGACAAGAGGGGAAAATCCAATACTATATAGGAAATCAAATTAACAGGCAATTCATATTTAAGAAAATATATCCTAAAAGAAACTTTAAAAGCATTCTTTCACATAGATCAAGATAAAAAAAATTACTTTTTTGGTCAGTTGTGGGGCCTGGATGCTATCCCTGAGCCTTTTCAGGCAAAGCTAGTGCTCTATCACTTTGAGCTACAGCTCTACTTCTGGTTTCCATTTGGTTAATTAGAGATGAGAGTCTCACTGGCTTTCTTGCCTGAACTGGCTAAAACTTAGATCCTCAGATCTCAGCCTCCTGAGTAGATAAGATTACAGCTGTGAGCCACTGGCACCCTGCTCAAAATATGTTTTAATAGGTAATTACCTCCTCCATAGAGCTGATATCCTCATCTTAGCCTAACACACACACACTATATATAATATACATATATGAAAAGCTATATTTATATACACACAAGTTTTTGATGGTTCTGTGGGATTTTAACTCAAGGTCTCCTACTTGCTAAGCAGATACTCTACCATTTGAGCAATTCTTCCAGTCCTAGACTAGGCATTTTTGAATTTGAAAGAATGCCAAGTAAAGTCAATCAAAAATGTTTCTGGGAGCAGCACTGTGGTAGAGTGCGAGCGTCTTCAATGAAAGCAGCTCAGGGACAGTGCCCAAGCCCAGAGTTCAAGCCCCAGGACTGGGTGGAGGGGAGATTTCTGCACTTTTCTATGGTTTAAATGGAAATAAAAATTAAAAATCTGGCATCATCTTTCTTTTTTAATAATTTCCTTTTTGGTATTTATCAATATACTATGTTCAGAAACATTCTGCTAGAATAAAAAGGAGGAAAAAAATCTGTTAAGACTAACATTTAGGGGCTGGGAAAGTGGCTCAGTGGTAGAGTGCTTGCCTTGCATGCCTGAGGCCCTGGGTTCGATTCCTCAGCACCACATAAGCAGAAAAA